CCCCCCCCCCCCCCCCCCCCCCCCCCCCGCTTTCCTCTGGTGAAGGCCATTCCTTCAGCAGACAGGTATGGCTGATAAAATAATACTAAAATAGAACAGAGTGAAATACTGGAGCCAGCCAGCCAGTAAATCACAAATATAAACATTACTTTAAAAAGGCTCAAATATGGATAAATCCTATGAAAAGCCTAGTGGCAAGGATACAGTTTCCTGTTCTCTCAAGATGAGATGATAAAACTAGATCATGAGATTATTATATGCTGAAGCCTAAACTGAAAGTTCTGTCCAGTGGCTGGGATACCCATGCTGGCTGGGGAATTTTGGGAACTGAAGTCCACACATCTTAAAGTTGCCAAGTTTGAAAAACACTGCTGTAGCCCATGATGTCAAGATTTTCCATGCTGGTATATACAGTAAGTACAGCAGCATAGATGTTGTCCATGCAACATTTTGTGGGGCACATCTTTTTATGTGCTTGTTAAATTTATATCTCACCTGTCCTTCAGGGACTCTAGGCAGCATACATAGAATTCTCACCTCTAATTTTCCCTCCCTTAATCCTGAACCTTAACAGAAAGAAACTTCATTAGGGATTTGCATATTTTATGCATCTTCCTTTCACCTCCAGTTAAAGCCAGGTTACTTGTACTTTCCAGGTCCTCCTGACACAAGCATTGCTATTTGCATAATCTGTGGCATTTTGGGAGCAAAGTGACAATTATCTGCCCACCTCCTATTGGCCTCTATCTGCAGCATTGCACCTACCCCCTTCCCTCCAGGTGCTAAGCGGTGCATCTTTATTTCCTTTTTGACTTCTGTAGAGTCAGGGAAGGAAGGAAGGAAGGAAGGAAGGAAGGAAGGAAGGAAGGAAGGAAGGAAGGAAGAAGCAGCACTATGTCAACAATATTGCCACAGAGATCTCCCCACTACAGCAGCAGAGGCATCCAAGGGGTGGGGGGATGGCTCAAGAAACTCAAAAAAAGCCCCATGACCATGTGATCAAAGCCCTACCTCTTTATATAGGCATGTGGGGGTCTGACTGCACAATCATAGACACTGTCTTGATTTTTTTAACCTCCCCCTGCAGACACCCCTGGCATGCAGTGAGAGCTATGGTGCCCATTGATATGCATAGCAATTTGCTTTTGATCCTTCCAGGGAGAGGAGGAAGAGGGGACATGTGCACTTCACAGGGATGGTGGGTGTGTAGGGAAAAGGAGAGAAAGGGAATGGAGGCATTTTCAACAGGCACCCTTCCTTTCTACAGTATCTGCTGGAGGGTGCTTCCGCTGCCTATCCAGTTATTCTAACTGGAGCAAATAAATACAATATTTTTTTTTTAAAGTTCACTTTTACTTAAACTATACCTTATCGAGAATCAGAAATTCTGCTAGGTCACCTAGTTGCATAGGAAATCTGGAGGGAAGCTACAGTACCAGATTCCTTGTGTGGCATGTTGGGAAGTGTGTCTGTAGATGGTGGAGGGGGACAGGGCAGCAGCACTGGCTGAATGAGAGTATCCTCCTGCTTCAGCCAGTGCTGCCCAACCTGTGCAACCTGTCGGCTTTGTTGACGGAGCAAATTTACACTGGCACGTTTTGTATCCCCTCATGGCCTGGAAGACCAGCTGCCTAGATTTGTCCAGATCTCTTTACATTGCCATCATGCTATAGGAAAGTGTCACTCTCAGTGATGTTTCGGGGGACCAAGGGATTGGGGAATGTAACTCTCCAGGTATTGCTGAACTACATTTCCCACCATTCCTTACCATAGTCTCTGCTGGCTGGGGCTGCTAGATCCTCTGGTTATAGTTCAGCAACAACCAGAGGGCCCCATGTTGAAATGATATTAACAGTTTTTTAATAGGTCCCCCCTGCCCCCACCGGTCTGGCTTTCCTTAAAGGGCTGACATCTCATTTTACGTCATTCTGTGACAGATTAGTTTGGGAGAAATGGACTATTCTGAAGACATGCCACCATTTCCCAATTATCCCAGAAAACGGAGAAGGTGATGCGCGTTATTCAAACACATTGAGGGGATGTGTAGATTATATGCACCCTGTTGTAAAAAATATGACTTCAGTTGGTGTCTGCTTTGAGGAAAATAATGAATAAACCCGTCTATTGCAGTTAATGACAATGTTATATTCTCACTAAAAGGGATTTAGAAAACACAAACTATTCCACATTTCACACCTGTGTTAGACCTGGAGGTAAAATTCAATCTCACTGATTTTCCAAAGCCTTTTGAAACATTCTGCATTTTGTTTTTGCAGTGTATGAATGAAGCAGACCTCATGACACGCTGCTTGTATAGTGATACCCACACCACTTGCATTCTTCTAGAATCGTAATCCTTCTGCCTAGTCATTCCTGCTCAGGCACCAATTTGATGTGTCACGAAAGGCAGGGATAAATCACTTAACACATTACTATATTCTTTTATTCCCAAGGACTGGCATTTGGGAGATTCAGGTGCCAAAAGAACTTGGTCAGACCTGGGTGCTAGGAAGCTTGATTTGCACATGCAGGTGTACGTGAGCTTTTGCAACACAAGGTGCCTTTGTCCTATCCTGTCCTTTTATCATCAGCTAGTTGGTTCAGTGCAACACTTGCAAAGCAGATGTCAAGTGTAAGGGAAGAGGAATACTATTACTTAGGACTGGACTAGGACTGGCCCAGGACATCAAGCAGCCTTGAGGGAAAGAAGATCGATCCCATGTTCCAAGCATGGGACCTGACTGCCTGGGCATCTAGATTCTTGTTATTTCAACATGGCACTAAGCCAGAGATCAACACATTTGGTGAGCAGGCCAGCTGCATGGCATACACTGGCCTGTCATACCATCCCTGTCTCTTTCTCCAACTTTTCACCACTAGATTCTGCTATCTGCCTTCTAGGACAGCCAGTCTTGCAAAGCTAGTCTATATGTGCAGGAGAATAAAGCAGCACAGCCTTGGGGTGAAGCAACAGATGATGCAGTTTCAGTCTTCAGGCAGAGAAGTTTACGTTAGTATTTACCTTATATCCTTGTAAATAAATCTAGAGGTGGGTGCTTTGAAGCATTGCCAACTTTCCATTTAATTTGCTGTTTCATTTTTTAAATCAGGTGTAAAAGGGAGCCTGATGGATGTCCAGATTTTCATAGACACTTTGGCATGGGTGGCCATGAGCATTAAATTGTTTATCCATGGTTTAATGTAATTTTGTTAAAAGTCAGTCCACTTGGGAATTGGATTGACTTACTTATTTCTTCAGTGTTGGTCTATGACTATAATAAACTTTAACTAACTAAATGTCTATTTCTTCTTTGCAAGAGAACATCCTTCTAACTCTGCCAGTAAAGTATTTATTGTGAGAAGTGCAGTATTGATATTCAACCATAAAGACAGAAAATTTTGAATGTTATATTAACCACTTTCTATTTCTTCTTTGCAAGAGAACATCCTTCTAACTCTGCCAGTAAAGTATTTATTGTGAGAAGTGCAGTATTGATATTCAACCATAAAG